GTCTATGATTAATTTTAATCCTTGAGTGAAATACTCTGACCTCCCCTCTATTTTACGTTAATTAAATATATCTCCTTTCTATTTGTGAAACATATAAGAGAACATATGAGAGCCTCTCTTAATATGAATAGTTATAACTTATAAGACACAAGCAGCCTCTTTATTTTTAAGATTTTATTTCCATGGTCCATCCACCTGACTGTTGAGTCACATATGTTAGACCAAAACACCCCTCTTTAAATATATATACATATATTGTCCAAAAATCATTCAAATTGTCAAAAAAAAAATAATGCATATACTTTTTTTTTACTTTTTTATTTATATTTTAAAATTTTTCATTATGTAAATGTATTTATTCAATAATTTTAAAAAAATTAAATACATAAATTGGCTAAAATAATATTCGAACATGCAGTTAAAAAACTTATGAAATAAGAATTTAATCTTATAAATTAATCAATATAATTTATGTTTATTTTTCTTTAAATTTCATTAATTTTAACAAAATTTTTAAATTATTTATTTAAATAATGGCTTACTTAATTATTTAAAGTTTTTTTAAATTGGGGGAGAGAGTAGACAATTAGATCATAAAGGCAAATTAATAATTTTAAAATTTTTACCATAATTACAAATAAGAAATAAGTATTTTAAAATATTTAATGAAATATTCCTAATGGTGTTAAAGATTGGACTAAAGTGTAGGTTTTAAACATAGGAATGAGATCTTTGTAATTTTAGCAAAACAAAAGGGAGGTCACTATATTTTTCTCTTAATTCTTTGTTTGTTTGTTTGTTTTTGTTTTTTTTTTTTTTGGGGGGGGGATTGTGAAATGCTTCATTAGTGTAAAGCTGTAAATGTCTGCGACCATGTTTCAAGAATTAATAAGATTCAAAATGGACACAGGAATGAAACCATACTAGGAATGTGTAAAAATAATGAAAACGTCAAAATTTATAGTTATTGTAATCATACTTATTGATCAAATGACGACTTGAAACAGTTATGAAACATCTAATGAGCTAAAAGGACTAGTTCAGACTTCAGTAGAATCAATTATGTTGCATGCTGGGCGATTTACCTTCAACATTATGATCTTGTTGAGGACACTAGTACATCTGTTTGGTCATTATTGATTGGGGAAAAGCGCATGACGTGACTAAATCCCTTGTAGTATTCTTTGTTCATGAAGAGCTTAACAGGCATCTAAGACATAACTGGTAGAGAAACTAACTAGGAGAAGAAAGACAAGCGATGCAGTCTGGCAATGCCATTGTTGACGTAGTTGCTTCTGTGATTGGCTTAGTGTCAACTGCACCAGTGTGATTTTTCTTTAAATATATAATTTGATTATGAACTATGAAAATAAAACCAGAAAATAAGCCAAATAATAAAATCTAAGTCCAGCATGCACATCGTCATTGCCTTGAGGATTTTCTCATGAAGAGCTTTGACAACAATTTTTTTTTTTTGGGGCTATCTTTCTTTCTTTCTTTCTTTCTTTCTCTTTTTGGTGTTATCTGCACATGTATGCATTTGTATGTTGTTATTTTTCTTTTCCTGCGTTTCAGCAAGTGAATTGAAATTTCGCATTATTAATGCTGGAAATATAATTTTGTGAAATGTCATTGTGCTAAATCGTCTCTCTTTCAGGTTGATGAATACCCTGTGTATAGCATGGCAGCTCCAACCGTCTCTGGTGCGAAGGAGATGCTAGCATATTTAGGAGCAAAGTGTAAAGCAGACAATTCAGTTGCTCGGAAAGTGATATTGACTGATCTGAGAGAGGAAGCGGTTGTTTATATCAATGGTACTCCTTTTGTCTTGAGGGAGTTAAACAAGCCTGTTGATACACTCAAGCATGTGGGCATCACTGGTCCCGTGGTGGGTAATCTTCAGCAATAATATGTCTCTTGGAACACATAACAAAACCCTTTGCGTTACACAACTCATGGTAACTGCAATGCAGGTGGAACACATGGAGGCACGATTAAAAGAAGATATGCTTGCTGAGGTTAGACAGTCTGGTGGACGCATGCTACTACATCGTGAAGAATACAACCCTTCAACAAGTCAGTCTGGTATTGTTGGATACTGGGAAAACATTTTGGCAGATGATGTGAAGACCCCTGCAGAAGTTTATTCTGCTCTCAAAGACGAAGGATATGATATTGTCTGTCGGAGGATACTACTAACAAGAGAGAGAGATGCTCTGGCCTCAGATGTTGATGCAATCCAGTACTGTAAAGATGAGTAAGTGCCTAGGCAGTATATCTTCTTGTGTCTCTTGGAATTATCCAGCATTTTTCAGGCAAGTAGCCTGCAGAACTTTTAAATGTACCTAGGAGCATGAAGCCATGGACTGACTTATAATTGGTATATTTCCTAGGGGCTTCCATGGTCCACATAATGCAATAAGTTGTCCCCTCTAAATTCTGATGATTCAACTTTAACAGTAACGCATGCATCTTCCTCTCCAATGGGTTGAGGCCAGTGCAAGCATTTATAGCACTTTGGTGCTATATGCTATTTATGGGCATGTTGTCATAGGGTCATTACTCTCTCCTCAAAAAGTTAGGCTATTGAGATGTGCAATATACCCGTTTATATAGTCAAGACCCTCCCAAGTCCCTTTATTGTGGGACGTAACAGCTCCCTCGGCCAATTCATGAGGCCCCCATCACAGGTGGCCCACCACAGGGTCCACAAACTCGGCAAACTTAGGTATGGCTCTAATATCACTTTGTCATGGGGCCATTACTCTCTTTCTAAAAAGCTACCCTATTGGGGTGTGTAGTGCACCCGTTTATATAGTGAGGGCTCTCCCCAAATCCCTCCAATGTAGGATGGAACAACATGCTCTCTAGAAAGTATATCTGTATGTGTCTAACAAATAATTGATGCTAAATTCTTTTTGGGTTGAAATGATAAATTCCAGTTCCTTTTTTCGTTTTTTCTTTTTTTACAGTTCTGCAGGAAGCTACCTTTTCATATCACACACAGGTTTTGGTGGAGTCGCATATGCAATGGCCATTATGTGTATTAAAATTGGCGCAGAAGCAAACTTTGCATCCAAAATTCTGCAACCATTGCTTGGGCTGGCCATATCCCCTGTGGGTGAAGAGAATATGACCTCTCGAGCTTCTAACGAAGAAGCACTCAGGATGCGTGACTACAGAGACATATTAAACCTTACAAGAGTCCTTATACGTGGTCCTCAAAGCAAAGCAGATGTTGACATTGTTATTGAAAGGTGATTAACTTGAGCTTGTTTAAAACTTTACTATAAGATATAACCTATAAATCCTGTTTGACAGCAAAGCGAATAAAGTAAATTCTGTCTGATGTTTGAAATATGATTTCCTCGATGTAACTTTTATATGATTCCTACTCTGCCATTGCTTTGACTTCTGGTCGCTCTGAAATTAATGGCTTTCTGCATCATTCTACCCCCTATTCTGATGAGGAAACATAGCTGCAATTGTTATTTATTTCTATTTTTTATTAAAAAAATATTTTTAAAGCAAATAATAATCTTCCGCTTTAGCCCCATTAAAATTTTTATCAAGATACCCTTCATTATTGTCCAAAAAAACTAAATACATATTTTATGTAACTAAAAAGATCAAATGAAGGGTATATTTTGGCAGTAAAATTTAAATTGGGCAAGAGTGTTGAGTAGTTCTTTTGTTTTCTGTATATTTTAAAAATAGAAGAGAGATTCAATGTCATCAAAAGTTGGTTTTTTTTTTTTTAATAATTTACCGAGAAAAAAATTGAAGGCTCTGAAATCGTTTCTTGGGTTCAATAGGTGTGCAGGCGCGGGGAATCTACGAGATGATATTCTCTATTACAGTAAAAAATTTGAGGAGTATGTTGATGCTGACGATGAAGAACGTGCGTATCTTAGGGACATGGGTATCAAGGCTTTGAGGTAAAATTTTGGCTGCCCTGTTTCTGGTAGCATTTTGGCTTAGATTTGCTAATTGAATTCACAAGTTTTCCAACAATACTTCTGTTTTAATTTTTAACAATGAATGCACTCCTTTTATGGATGCCAGTAGCAATTGTGCTAGTAAGTTTAGCCCATGAGTTTGGTTGTATAACCACTCCTCTGTTTCCTCTCTCATTTGCAGGCGCTACTTTTTCCTCATTACATTTAGATCCTATCTACACTGCACCTCTCCTGTCGAAATGGAATTTGCCGCATGGATGAACGCAAGACCTGAGCTTGGTCATCTGTGTAATAATCTCAGAATTGATAAATAATGTAGCTCTCCTCATAAATACATGGATTTATCATGTACAGTTTACATTTGCCGTTATCATTTTTACCCCTGAATGCATGTGGATGGTGATGAGAAAACATGAGAGGGATTGAAGATCCTGCCTCTACTCAGTTGGATGGTGGCATCGCCTCTCCCCCTTTTTTTCCTTCAGTTTAATTAAAACCCCTCCAGAGGATCCTGTCAATCAATTTCTTTTGCTTCCTGAATTTTTTTCCCGCGATGCCCTCTGTGTAATATAATTCGTTTGTCGTTTCTATACTGTAAACTTATTTTATTACATTGAGTCTAGGATCACAATGTAGTTATCTGTATTAAATTATTAATTGGTGAGGTTTTCCGGAGAAAAAGCAATCTAAGGTTGCCCCCCCTCTTCTTCTGCTGTCATTGTGACTTTGTGATGAAGACCGCTCACTATTAAATTATTAATTGGCGAGGTTTTCTGGAGAAAAAACCATCTAAGGTTGCCCCCTCTCTTTTTCTGCTATCATTGTAACTTTGTGACCAAGGCCACTTTTCCTTCAACGAAGTAATCCAATCCTGGCAATAAAAAACTTTATGTTTTCAATAGTAAAACTGAGCTTAAATCTTTTATAATTATTTTATTGGGGATTTTAATAATAAGAATACTATCTTGATTCTTGAATTCTTAACCGTTGTGGTCTAGACGATGCATAATGTGATGGCGATGGATTCGTGGGGTCATAAAATGAGCAATGATTAAACCATTTTATAGGAATTTATTCTTTGGTAACAATATTAGTTTTGTGCTATCCCATGCCCCTTGTTACTTGGACATGAACTTGTGCTTCCTGTGATGATAGTCTTACAAGACTTTATTTAAAGTAGAAAGGTGTTTGTGTTGGGCAAGAGCGGACATCTTGTGAGATTGCTGATCGATGACAACGATTGTTGAAGGGCTCTCCTCAAATATGACTTCGTATCCATCTCTGAAGCCATCCATACCTTGGGCCATCACCTGCCAGAAAAGCCCACCTACGCATGGGCCCCCACTGCTGGCGCTCTTATATATCAAACCATATAACTTGTCAAAGTAATTGTCCCTCTTATCCACGCTATAACCCGATGACCTGGAAGATTTGCCAAACTCGCTCAGAAGAATGGGCTTTCCTATTACTTTCTCAGCGTCTTCTATGTGGGCCTCAACCCATTTGTCAACAAATGCAGATTGGGCCGTATCGTCTCCACCAGGAACCCTGCGTCCACAAGTTCTTTTTACCGTAATTGCACCCTTAGAAGTATTTAAGAGAACCGCGCGTTGGAGAGTAGTGATTTACCATTGATCGGGATAGAGATGAATGGTGGCAAAATCGATTTCAGGAACTTGATTGTTGGAAATGAAATCAGTTCCAACTTCGTATCCCGGATTAATCTGCTTCCTTGCTGGCATTGTTTCGCCGTAAAACCCTTCAAGCCCCACGTCCAGTAAATGATTCCCGTCGATGGATTTGACGTAGGCGGCCATCTCACTCACCCAGGCCTGTAAAAGAGGCACAACTCATGTAAGCGGTTGCGTAGAACATTATAACTTAGTGCGAGTAAGAGAGAAAGAGACCTGAATTTTCCCCCCCGAGTTATCGTACAGAGAACGAGGTTCATTCATAAGTTCCCATGCGAATATAGCGGGATCATCCTTGTATGCCACTCCGGTTATCGTGCTGTTTCTCGTCAGCACGGCCTGCGATTCGAGCAGATACATACGTATAAAGTTCACTATCCAAGTCAAAGGCGTCAAAGTTAAAATTATACGATGGATGTGGCTCCCACATATACCTGAATATGGTTCTTGTAGTACTGCTTGATAACAGGGTGTGTAAAGAAGTCGTCATCGTTGTTGATATTCTGGCCTCGTTCCCTCGCCCATTGGATATACTGATTTTTGCCTCCAAAATCGCTCCAATTGTTCACTAAGGTCAGTATCAGTCGGACCCCATATTTTCCAGCTTCTGACACCACGAAATCCAGTCCCTGCAAGCCCATCAACCAAAAACACGGATCGATCATTCATCATTTAAGCATAACCCCAAACTCAAAAACTATGACTAATTAAAATGAACTAATTAACATGCATGCAATATATACCTTGAAGACGTTCTCGTCATAGCAACCTGGAGAAACCTGGAGCGACCTGTAACCTCCATCGCTGAAAGCCCAGGTTCTTGCGACATTTAAACCGTGTTGAGAAGCTTGTTGGAGAGTGGTAGTGACCTTGGAGCTCGTGGATGGGTCGGATGCCATGTACATTAGCCAGTAGGAGTTGAATCCGTTCAAGTAGAGTGGTTTCCCGTTCAGCACAAAATGAGTTCCGTTTCGCTTAACGAAACCACTGTCACCACTTGGTTTGCTGGTTGATTGGCCAATCTCGCTGCTAGCATCTCCAATAACTAACGCCACGACAAGTGCCATCAGAGCCAAGTTTCTCAGACTAGGACACTTCGTCCACTCCATTGCTTTACCCCTGTTCACAACCACTTAAATCATAACTCTACTCTTCCACAAATTAATCATATCTCATTGATTATCTACATATATATACATATATTTATATGTTCCCATTTCCTTCGCACATACAAATTATCAACAGACAAGCCGCGGATGCTTATTGATCCGCAAAACTAACACACACACACACACACACACACACAATGTTGTTATAGCCGGCCGCTTCAGCATATAAATTAAAACGTAACAAGCAGAAACAAGAAACTTAATAAGGAAAGAAAATGTTTTAAAAGATGAAGAGGCAAGAGGTGCTAGTTTATGAATGAAAGAAGATGCGTTCTGCGTCTTTCTGCTGTGAAGAAAATGTTCAGCTCTTGATGTGCTTATATAGACATAGAGGTATACATACATGACTTCCAAAAGGATTTGCATTGGTTCATAGACATGGCATGTTGGTTTGCCAGAGGGTCGGTCCCACCCTAAAAGCCGTGAGGTCTTGGAGGAAAGCCAATCAAAAGACATCCTTAGCATGGACCCCACGTTCAAAGATAAGCCTTAAACAGTTTTAGCTGTTAGGTTTCGTAATTGGTCGACTACTTCTTGGTGAGGCGTCATGGGAATGGTAATGCAACAGCATCCACTTTAGTTTATATCATATACTTATTGATCAATATATATGTAATATGAGGTCGCATGCACGTTAAATTCATAATGCGTCTTGGACGTTGATGCACCCAAAGTACACACACAGATACACTCACATGTGTATGGTATTCGCTTGTAGGGAATGAATTGTAAATATAATCATAATTGTTCTTAATCATGAACATTTTTAAACAAATTCCTTCAAGTTTTTAAAAATTATACAATTAATCTTTTCTCTCTATCTGGAAATATATGTAAATATTGCTTGAAACAAAATTAAATTGCATTTTAAGATAAGTTTACATTTTATTGGCCAGAATATTTTCTATTAATAATTTGTAGTATTTAATAAGCAATGGAGAGTAGCCAATGTAAAATATACAATTTACACTGCGTGACATCTTCATAACTAACTAAGCATGGTCTAATTTTTCCCCCCATACTTTATTATTCTTTCCTTCTCATAGTTCATTGAGCTCCATTAATTCAACTTCGTTTTTATTTTTTCAGTATTGCTCTCCTTATTTTAATAAATTTTAAATGTTATAAAGGTGGGTACAATTTCTAAGAAGATTCTAAATTATTATCTCTCCCGTGCATGCATCACGTCACATAATGAAGAAAAAATTTCAACTAGTTAAATATAATTTACCTTTAAAGTCTGAAACCAAACACTAAACTACTACCATACGGGGACTAAGCGGATATTGAGCGTTAATTTGTATTTACAATTTTTTTTTTTTTTTTTAGCAAAGGCATCCAGATCCCAAGCGCTGCTAGGCTATCATATGCTTTTTTTTTTTTTTTTTTTGCCCCTACCTCGCGGATGACCCGGCATGGCAATTTTACTTGCTGACATGTCCTGTCTTGTCTTCCTTCGCACGATTTTCTGCGTGGCCTTTGTAATGGGAAAAAAAAAAAAATTGGAACAAAAGGTTGTTACAAGCAGTTATTGAGGACCCCCTCATCAGCTGCGCATTGAGAGGGACACGTATACGCCCATGCTCCCTTGTCCATCTAAAATTACCAACGACGTTCAATGTAACAAATACATGGGCCCTCTATGTACCAGGCCCAGTGATCCAGTAATCAATACTCTTTGTAGCCCAGATTCTGCTCTTTTGACTTTTACGAGAAGATGCCCTCATTTCGGATCTCCAACATTTCTCGCTTTAAAACCGGTCGAATCAAGTTGGTGATGCTTCGGCTAGGAATGGGTTCACGACCTCGGGTTATTTTGATGTGGCTCTTGCGGTCTTGCCTGTATTGGGGCCCTGGTGCTCCAAGACAAATTGGGATTTAAATCCCCACCCCTTTTATTATTGTTTTAGTTTTGGGTTATAGCCCTCTTTGCTTGCCGGGGAAAAAAGAACTGGTCTAATCGTTATGCCCATTTAAAAAAAAAAAAACACAAAGGTTTCGTCTTCTGTCGCGGAATTGATGCTTATCTTGTCTGTATCCCAAAAAAAAAAAAAAATGCTTATCTTGCCAGCATAATAAAGTGGTATTTTCTTTATCGTTGAATTCAACAATGTTTATTAACTCGTGGTTTCAATCAAAGTGGATACATCATACATTATTTTTACTATTGATATTAATTCGTGGAAGAAGGAGGCAGAGTTGGGTAATTAAAAATCGTTCATCACCATGGGTTTGAGACAAGCATTGATCACTTGCTGCGAAAAATATGGAATGTCATATGGGGGGTGTGTGTGTGTGTGTGTCTTACTCAGTACGTTTGGATCGAATTTGTGCTTTGAATCTTGATTTACCTTCACAGTTCACACTGCCAATTTTTCAGGACTAAAATTGAGCTAGTAACGGGGCATGGTGAAACTGAAATCATGAATCAGATCAAATCAGACAACGTTCCGTGTTGCCTTAGAACTAGAACTGGAGAAACAGACTTGCTTGTTGGAAACTCTGGGAAGCAAGGAACAAATTTATTTTCCAACGAGTTAATACTCAAGGTGATCAGTTGGCAACGGAAATTCGAGTGCTTGTTGATTTTAATATCCAAGCCAAAGAGACTTTTCAAAAGACCCAAGGTTGGGATAGCACCAAAATTGACACGATTTTTAATTGGAAGAAATCTCTTGTTGATTGGGTGTCTCTAACCTACGATGGTGCGGTCAAACATGAGTACGGTAAGGCCAGGACAAGATGTATCATTCGTGATTCTAACGGTGACTGGTTACAAGGTTGCTGCAGAAATATTGGTTCATGCACGACTCCGCTGGCTAAATTATGGGCTACCCTCGATGGATTAACAATGGCATGGGAGTTTGGTTTTGAAAAGATCAAACTTGATGTGGATTGTTTGCTTGTTGTGTGGCTTATTTCTCAAGAGAATACTCGTACAAATACAATATAACACTCAGATAAATTCATATACTTTTGCAAAAAGACTGGCAGGTTAATGTTAAGTGCATATATCACGGGGGGAACAAGTGCGTTGATTTTTTGGCATCCTTTACTCTATCTATTCGCATGATTTTCGAAAATCTAGATCATCTAATAGAGTATAGATATCTATTTACTTGAATGCAAATTAATATCTAGCTATCTATTTAAATTTAAATGTTTAGAAAACTATCATCGGTTTAAAAATTTTAATTCAAATTATCATTTTTGAGATATATATCTACAACGATTATGGGTTTAAAAATACAAACACTTCATTATGTATAATGATGATGGCATTAGAATTAAAAATAGATATCGTTTACAGAAACAATGGTGGCATTCCTATGAATTTCTATAATTGAATAAAAGTAGATATCATTGAGGACTTTACATTTAGATTATTGTTTAATATATACTAAGTATCTGTTATCACACAAAAAAAATGTTTAATATCCATCATTATTTTTCACCCATATGTATAAAACAAAATTGAATTTACTTGAAAATACTACATATCAATATTTTTTATACAAGATTTAGTTAGGAATTCAATTCGGATTTGATATTGGAATTAAAAATCAATATAACAATTTTATGCCAGAAAAAAAGATCAATTCAACAATCAGATTAATAAAAAAACCACAATTTCTTGTATTTTACTTAGTATTCACCATTTAAATTTATAAACTATGCAATTAAATCAAAACCAAAACTTACTTGGTGATCGATAGGTTATGACAGGGGAGGATATATAGCAGGCCAAACAAAAGGGAATGAAATTCAAAGTTTCAAACTTTAGCATACATGAATTTCTTTACCTGAGTTTCAAATGTAGTTTTGAGTTAGTTTTTCAATATGTTAATATAAGTTTTTGTGTTTATGATCTTCTTTAAAGTAAATATCATTTTTTTATTTTATAATTATACTCATTGTTTATTAATTATTGAATTCCTTCAATTATTTGAAAGTCCTTAATAAAGAGCCAAGATCTATTCAGTCTTATAGTTTTGATTTTTTAGAATTGTAGACATTTGAAAGATGGGTGTTACTAACAAGAATTATTTAGTGAGCATGCCATTAATATATCACGTAGTCTTTTTTAACAGTTAAGATATTTAATATCCCAATATCTCACATCCTATTAATATTTTTTGGATTATTACAATGTTATATTATTCAAAATAAATTTTATCGTGGGAATAAACTGTTAACAAATTTTGAAAACAACAGTATAAACCAAATTTTAAAAAATGCAGTATAAATAAAATTCAATAAATAATTTTTTAATATATTAATTTTTACTCTATAGTTTTTAATATAATATATATTTCTGTACATAATGAATATAATACATATCCTAACCTAATTAGAGACACTATAATCAATTTGATGTATAATATTAAGTATCTTGATGTTATTAAGAGAATATCATAATCAAGTATATATTTTTTCCTATTTTAGATTGTAGAACTTTCAAAATTCAGATATATAAATCATTATAGGATTATTAAATTTAGTGGTATTTTCCTTGTACTTCAAAGCGTTTGCCTCACAATTTCGTACTTTGGAAATTAGATTTGATTGTTGGTTTATTAATAGGTTTTCAATTAAGTTTTTAAATATTTACATATATAAACTAAAATAATAAAATAATATTTGAAATTCAAATTAATATTTGGTTATGGAACAATTTTAATATTTTATAATATTTTCATGTACCTGTGCAGTTTTATAGCATTCTCCTCCATTCACATTATTGGATTAGATAATTAATTTATCTTATTTAATTTGAAAATATACCACATCTCCTCTAAAACAATATAGATTTGAAAATATATTCATACGCATCTAGAAAGTTGATTCTATTTATTCAATCAAGTCTGATACTTGGTTTGGGATAATTTATCATTTTTATATGTATATAAAATAGAGTATTTAGATTTAAAGTTAAGTTCATGATGATTTACCATTTTTTATGTGTTTCAAGTTGCTTTTTATATGACTTTGTATTTTAAAGGTCAGGTTTGGTTATTGGTTTATGAATTGATTTGGCCTAAAATTTTAAATGTTCATATATATATAGATATATATAAAAAATAAAAAAAATTAAAGTTATAAGATGTATATGTTTCAAATAAAATAAATTAATTTTATCTATATTCACCTAGATTTAAATTTTTAAGGTTTAAAATATTACTCCCTCCATTATAAAATATAAGATATTTTTTGAGAAGTTGTATATAAAAAAATATAAGATATTTTTAATCTTTCGAGGTGTATAATTGCTTTTCTTTTCAAAAGTGTTTCTATTGATAATGACTTTATATTTATTGTAGGGTGTTTAATGAGAATAAATATATAAAGATAAAATTAATTTAAAAGTGGGCAACCACTTTACTAAGAGGTACTTTTCAATTAAAAATGCCTTATATTTTTTAATAAAAAAAATAAAATATATAGATTTAAATCTTAAAGATTTAGATTTGGATAAAATTATATGAAATCCAATATTCTCCGGTTGGAAAGATATCTACATTAATAATTTTTAAATATTTTTTCTATTCAAGGTCATGTATTATTTTTAAAATTTTACCAAATTAATCAAATTTTCCAAAAATTTAGTTTAATTCTCATAAATTTTTAATTTGAGTAGTATTATTTTTTGGATTTTTGGTTGATGTATAAATATTTATTCTTGGTATAATCTACTTAATGAATTTATGTGTGCTACTTTAAACAATTAATGGATTGACTAGCATCCAATACCATTCAAAAAATTCATACACCGTCTGTGCTTGATATATATTCGAATTATGAGCAGTTAAAAGATGCATGTCTTTGAACCATGAAAACTTAAATAAATGATTATTTATCTAAAAATGCATATTTGAGATTCAAACTAAGGTCAAGAAATGAGTAAGCAGAGCCCATGTGAGCCTATTCATTAAAATTGGCCATTTTTTAAAATATGAATTACAATAAAAAAAAGGTAATATAAATGTTGTTTTTAAAGTATAAACATGAATTTTAAAGTCTAACTTAATTTAAAAATTAAAAGTGTTATATTTTTTAAGGGCAAAAAAAGGATATAAATTGGCGGCTTGTCAAGTCTAAATAGATTCAAACGAAATCTTAAATACATACATACATACATACATACATATATATATATACCTAACAAAATAGTGATAAGATGTACTTATTATAAATGAAATAAATTAATTTTTTCTATCTCCACATAGATTTAAATCTTTAAATGACAAAATATTGTGAAATTGTGAAATATGTAGATTTGAATTTCCTATATTTAAATTTGGAAAAAATTAAAGAAAATCCAATATTCTTCTAAGTGAAAGATATTTAAATCAATCATTTTTTAAATATTTTTTCTTTTCAAAATCATGAATATATTTTTAAATTTTATAGAGTTAATCATACTTTATTAAATTAAGTCTGATTATGGTAATTCATTGATCTAAGTAGTATAATTAATATTAAGTACTTTTGATCAATGTATAATTATTTGTACTCAATATAATAAATTATTGTATTTATGCATGTAACATTAATAATTAACAGACCAACATCTAATACCATTTAAAACATTTATACAACATCTTTGCTTAAAATTGAAATTATGGGTGGCTACAAGGTGTATATCTTTTAACTATATAAACTTAATTAAATGATTGTCTATCTAAAATATATATTTCAAATTCAAACTACAATTGAAAAACAGGTGAGCATAGCCTATATGGGCCTAGCCATTATGGGCTTAGATCCATAACCCAGTTATCTCATAATCAATTGATTGTCAAAGCCTGGCCCGTATTTAACATGCTTATGGCTGAGAGTATAAGCCTGTTTAAGAAAATATCTTTTAAAAAATATTTTTTACATTTTCCTAATACCAATTTTTTTATGTTGTCAATTTAAATCCCTAAATTTACATCTTATTTTATCAACACATCTTACTTACTTTATATTTATTCAAATTGATTTTTCCTTCTTAAATCTAATTAAACTAATGCATTGATCTTAATATTATTGATATATTTAATCAGATTATGTTGTTATTATAAGTTTAAAGTCTATTTAAAATTCAGTAGGCTTAAAGCCTATTTAAGGCTTTAAAGCCTCACTAATATCCCTATTTAAATTGATTTTTAAATAAACTTTTGAGTTTTAAGCAGACTTGTGCTTCAGCTATAATAAAAATATATATAAACTTTTGGCTGGGTCTACACCTCTAGCCTACTACTTTAGGCATATTTAGATGTAGCCCAATCCATTATATAAATTTACCATTCTTTAGTTGTAAATTATATTTAGATGTGGATAGCATGATGATGAACTTATATCAACATAGTGAAGCATGTAAATATGGGAAATAAACATGTATGAAGATACAATGTGTTATGTTCAATAAGATGTCTCCCCTTTGATGACTATTTTTGTTCATTTTGATGAATTTATAGCGACCATGCTTGCATTATTTCTTTTGTTTGATGAGATCAAATCAAAATTTTATTGGCGACTTTTTTATGATAGTTTTATAACGTTTAGTGCCAGCCTTACAAAATTGGATAATAAAAGTATAATAAAATAAATACTAATGATTTACAAATTATTAGATGATGAGAGTTTTTTTGGCAAAATGTGGTCATAAATGATGGATGTCACATATTTAAAAAAGCTGCCATGTCACGGGTGCTTTACTAGGTTTTCATTTACTCTGAAAAGGAGACAATTTTCTATTATGCTGACTTTTGCAATGACTATTAATAAAAGCCAAGGTCATAGTTTGGGTAATGTCATTTGTACTTACTTCGTCCTATTTTCACACATAGCTAATTATATATTGTTGTTTCTCGCATTCGAAGGAGGGAAGGTTTTAAAAATATTAGTTCTTAATAAGAATGATTGATTCACAGACAAAACTTCTAATGCTGTTTATAGCAAAGTTTTTGATAATTTGATCTAATTAATTATAAATTTTTATTAATATACTTCTTATTGTATCCATTCACACCGTATTCATTTAATTTTTTACATTTACTTAACTCTAATATGCATATTTAATATTAAAAATGATAATTATATAGGCCCATTACGTATACGATGATATGAAGTATTGGAGATGATATATTACACGTTATTTTTTAAAAAAATTCTATAAATTGACACTTATTTATGAAAATTTTATTTCATCATAAATAATAGACATGTCATTTATAAAAAAATTTATTATATATCGCCGGTGCATCGCATTGTTACTTTACTAGTTAGGTAATATAATACGTGATATAATATAATAGTGTAAGTTTTGACCATTTATATCAACTCCTTTACTCAGGTAGCCGCTTTCGATATTCTGAATGACATAATTATAAGGCCTGCTTAATTTGGAGGCTCCAGTCTTGCTTGAATAGCTGTCTCTTAAATTTAATGCATGCGTCCCGTGATTTATTTAATCGTTTGTATTCTGTAATAAAGGAGCCTCCTGGATGGGTAAGCACAATCTTGCCTTTTTCAGTTTTTGCCCTTTTAAAGTTAAATGAAATACTAACTCAGCCTGTAGAGAAAAGAATTAATTGAAATATCGAGTCAGGCCAAAAAGGATTGAACGCGCACAATTATTTTAGAGTAGTCATCATGATACATACCCGCAAGAACGGAACATGCCCAAAGAATACTTGCCACAGAACCATCACGATCTCTCTTTAATGAAAAAAAAAAAAAGAAAAAAGAAAGAGGAAAACAGGGAGAGGGTGTCTCCACTTCCCTCCCCTCCATTTTCCTTCATTTTTTTCTAATCACCCATAAATTAAAATTTTTCAATGACTCAAGTTTAATTTTTAATAAAATTATTAATTTAATTTATATAAGATATGTAAATAAAATATCATCGTTTATAATGATTTAGATTAAAATTTATTAGTTTAAATTTATTTATATATCTTTATAGAAAATTAAAATAATAATTCTGTCAAAAGTTAAATCTGAGTCGTTGAAATTTTAATTCTAGAATGACTAGAGAGAGGTGCAAAGAAGTGGAGAGAAGGGAAGCGGAGACACCTGGTCTGGTCCCTGAGAAAAACAGGATCAGGCGCTCCGTTTAGGCTTTAGGGTTCTTGATTTGTTCAACCTCTTCAACACTGATCTGGAAGGTCTTGGCGAGCACATCATCAGGCACACTCGGCGTCGCACTGAACAGAGCTGGTTCTATGAACAAAGCTCCAGGATTTTGACTATTGAAGGCTACAATATGAGAAGCAGGAGTCTTCCCAATGTTCTTCAGATAGTGAAGCGAGCCCTTCGGAAAAACAAAAACTTCGCCTTTTTTAAGGGTCTTGGTGAAGTGCTTGGTGGAGGTGATGATAAATCCGGCCTGCAATTCTCCCTCCAACACAAACACGATCTCGGTGGCGCGTGGATGAGTGTGAGGCGGGGTGAACCCTCCATCTCTATAATCAGCCCTTGCCAAAGATAACCCTAATGTGTTGAGTCCTGGAATTTGATCCACCGTGGCTAGCTTTACCGCAAGCCCCGCAGTGTTATTATCAAGTATCACCGACTGCTTCGCTAACCCGTCGAAGAAGAAATCAGCTGCCGTCACGTTTGCCTCGTCTTTGCACGCATACCCGTTCACCTTCACACCTGCAGTTCATGCATACACACATGACACAGTCACACAGTTCACATAAATACACTGCATTGATGATCTTTTCCCGGTCCATTTCCTTTACGTGCGGCATATTATTAGTAATTTTCAGCACAGGAAAACAAAGAAGAGTTTATCGGATTGGGAATGGTACTTACTTGAAGAGGGAAGAGCAACGCAGAGGTCTTGAAGCGTGTCCGGATCAGAAGCGAGGGCCAAGGAGATGACATTGCTGACGATGACCAGAATTGCGAAGGTAGTTGTTGGCGACATGGTTTTTGGAGTGATGGTCGTATCTGATAGATGAGAAAAATAGAGAGGCAGTGTCGCTTAAATATAGAATATGCGTCGTTTCTAAACGGAGTGCCCATGGGATTGAGTAGACGGATAGTGAGACTGAGAGTGAGATTGATGCGATGTTAAACCCTAAAGAGTCGTTTCTTCAACTTAAATTCAAAGGAATTTCCCCTGCAAATTCTAAATTATTATTCCTTCGGCTTCTTGTATTCTCCTACGTGAATTAATTTATTAATAAGGGCAGTTATTAAAAGTTGTCGTTATTTTTAATTGTGTAAGTAGAAAATTATTTTTTCTTGACTGTGCCCTAATGTGCGCTCATTTAATAATTAATAATACTCCATCATTATTGCAGCCAAGTTCAACTCCTTTTACTATTTTTGATGGAATAAAATTGAAAGTATGTATTTAATGCACGTGATTTAGAGTATTTTTCCTCGTGTTTAAAGAAAAAAAAAAACACCTTAGCTTAAGGTGATATTTGAAGACTGATGGAGAAAAAGATATGAACAATAATCTATGTCGGGAAAAGGAAATCTACGCGCGTTATAAATTAATTCACTAGGTGAAAAATACGAGTGCGTCCTCTGCAATATTTCTTTCAGTCCGTGAATAGAAAACAAGAAATAGTTTTCTTGGATTCGCACCGCAGGTAGAGTGTAACCAATACAATAGTATATACATCACAGGGCTTCATTTTTTAGTACCGGCAGAGAAATGATAGCATGATACAAGCAGTCTAGGAACAACGCCAAAGTTGTACTCCTCTTGTCTAATATATAAGTCGTTTTTTAAAAATATAATTTGATTCATTTTATAAGTTATTAGTTAATAAAATTATTTTATTTTAAATTAAAATTTTTAAATTATCGTTAAAAAGTAAGAGAGAGAAAGACAAAAAAATAATATTATATGATTGATTTACTTTTTACTTAAGAATTATATTTAAAATTTTACTTACTTTTATTCATTATATTTTTATTGTATTGATATTGATGAGATTAATAAAAATAATTTATAAATAATACCGGAGAGAGTATAACCTATACTGCATGCTATAAAATAAATTCACCACATGAATTTTTGAGAATGAAATTGATATGTTCGGCATATGTCCACAGTCCATATATGACATGTCTAAAACGTTTGATCAGGGCGGCCGTGAAGTTTTCCGTTTCACACATATTGTGACGTTGCTCTTCCTGCACTGGACTGGGGAGGGTTGGTGGACGAAAGGAACTTGCCGCCAGCCTGTTTCATTATCATCCTTCATCAATCATCATGTTTAATAGAAACAATATTGTGTGGGCCTGCGAGATTGGGCCCACAGGAAGTGACCCTCCCACGACCGCGTTGAGGTTTACTGCTTCTTATTTGGATCAAAGGATCAAATCCAAGCAGGAAAGAAAATGGAACGAGATATGCAAAGTCAGAAAACAATTCGCCGTTTATTGCCAGCTAACCTTTTCAGGGTTTCTCAATTCGGCCAACACGGAAACGAACTTTTCTCTCTAAAAATTGGAGAGACCACTTGTACTCTTTAGGATTTATGTTTGATAATTTTTTAAAAACACAAAACAAAAATTAATTTGCATGTTAAAATTTAATTTGAAAAAAAAATCAAGAGAAAGGACACGTAATAACCATGACCGCGGGAAAGAGCTTCTAAAAAATTGAGATCAACCTCCTAACCTCTCTCAAGCAAAAGATCACTCCATCCTACCAATCTCGCCTGTATGCTGATATATCTGCACTTGCATATCTACCAACCCTCACTCTATCATTTTGCAGTTGTGTAATAATATTGTGTTAATTGTTTTAAGGACCCCCAGGATTTGTCGAAGGTTTCATCACCGTCAATCCTCATTTTTCCTTTCCTGCCCTACCGTCTCTGATCTGATTGAGAATTATACTTGTTTGGTTTTTGTTCAATAGCTTTCGTCTTTCACACAATTTTCAAAATTTAGTTTAATCCTTGCATGCACTTGCACTGCTTGTTTATTTAATTTTATACAAGGCATGATATTAATTGTTACTGTAGATTCTCAAATGAGGGGTTGGTTGGGTTGAGATTTACAGATATTGGCATGATATATTATTTATTAAAATTTGTTTTGTTGAAATTTAACAAATATTATGTATTTACTATCAGGGTGATTTTTTGGGCGCGCGCGCACACACATATATATTGTAAACATTCTACATTAATAAAGACTGACAGTTTTTTTAATCTCCATTTCTTTCTCTCATGGCTCCTTTTAGTAATATAATCTCAATAATATCATTATTTCTTTCTTTTTTTTTTGGGAAAATAATGTCCTTGTTTCTATTTCTCATATCCATGGTCTAGGACGTCAGTGTCGTGTGGTCACGTCCAATGTACTTTAACAATTAAGCGATGAGTTTAAGATAACCACATCAACTACCAAATTAAAACTCCGCTGTGAATCAAAATTTCGGTCACCCCTGCGAATCCAATAACACAGTTCTTCTCTCATTACTCGTTGCATCCATTTCCCCTTCCTAGACGCTTCTGTTTCAAGGAGCCATTGCTCTTAAATTGCCTTTTTTTTTTCCTTTTCTTTAATGGATCCTAAAGTTTCTTACTATTTTATGTATTATCAACCCTATATTTTCCTCCTAATGCCAGCCAGAACTCCATCGAAAAAATAGCTTCTTTTTTTGTACAAGCAAAAAATTGTTTCTTACTCGGAGACACTCCCTGCCCGTCATTTCGAAGTTCTGCCCCAATAGGCAATAGACGGCTTTCTTGAATTTTGTCTTCGCTCCAACATGGAGATTGGGCCCACATACGTGATAAATGGCCTGGGCAAGGCCCAAGAGAATGATTCGGGTGACAATGATCCATTAGATCAGGGGACGATGTGGAACACGATTTTCTCTTGCAAACAATCCCTTGACATCAAAGGCGTGTTGACCAAGAGAAATTCGGGCTTAGAGACCAATGAATTTGGATCTAGTAAAAAATTACAAACCTCTTAATATTTAAATTTTTGTTAAAAAATGTGCCTATAATCAATGATAGAATGTGACCATTATCTTACGAGGAAATGTAGCACTGGCCTTTATCCAGAGCCCACCAATATTCATGATAAAAATTTAATAACAAAATTTATAAATAATAAATAAATAAATAAATAAACTTCTCGCACGAATTACGAGTGTTATTTTGCCGTAATATAACTTACCGGATGCCGCTACGAAGAAGAGAAAATGGGTCGCAGTGTCGCGCTTATAGCTGTAGTTCCCTTTCCTGCCCCCCATTTCATTCTGTGTTACTTCCAAGGATTCCGGTCCCAACAAAGACTTGCGAGTTCCAATGACGTCTTCCCATTAGTTTCATGGAAATGAAAACGCCCACGTAAGCTTAATTTTTGATTCAACCATCAAATTTATGTCGGGCAAAGGCAATTGAAGACAGACGTAGATGATTCTGTGCCTAAGGCAAAATACACCTATTAACATTAGAACTCCCCGGAGAAATACAGAATAGAAGAATGAGTCTGTGGAAGGACCTGGGCAGGGTCTTCAACGGCCTCTCTTTGATAGCCAAGGAATTCGTTAAACGCTCCCCCCCTTTCGAGTCTGCCAGAACCGGAGATTTTGAAACCCTAGTCAAGAAAGCTCTGGTTTCAGCCACCGACCTTTCCGGCCTCACCAAGGGAAAGGTTCGCCAACTCTCAAACCCTGGCTCCTCTAACTCCGAACACGCTAGTGATTCCGTTGTTTATTTCACAGACCTTTCTGATGCGTCGACCGCAAACAGTGATAGTGCTGGCAATTTCCGTGCCCAAGATGAAGTGGTTGCTGCTGACAATGGAACTAGCTCCCAAGTGAAGAGTTCTCGGGAAGCTTCTGATGCCTCCGTCGATGGAGATGTTTGTTTGACATCTAAAATCTTTGATGAGGGTAGACATTGTTCGCCGGGGAAGGAAAGTGAGGTCCAAAGCTTGGGTGAAACAGCCAATGCCGATGAAGTTGCAAGAGGGGAAGTGGTAATTGCGCCGCCTCTGAGAAGACGGACGCCGAGGGAGAGAAAAGTTCCTTCAACTTCATTTTCCAGGGCGCTTGGGTTAGTTTTTCCTTTTTCATATATCCAATGAAAACTCTTTGTTTGTTACAGAAGTTGCGGTTCATCCTTTGACATTGATTGAGTAAATAGCGGGATTAGTAAGTTTTAGTGAAATAGATTAAATTTGAAGCAAGGAAATTCTTTTGGGACCATTCATTGTACCCTTTCACTTTTCTCTTAACCCAATTTAGACACTGTCACCAGTGTTTTTTTTTTTTTTAAATAAATGTATCAACATTCTCCGAAGTCTATATTGAGTCATGAAAGAGATTCGTTTCCACTGCGCACTTGTTTCAGAGATAGACAACCATATCTTTTATCAAAGGAGAAAATATTATTTTCTTTTGCACCTTATATAATCTAAATTTCATTTTCCTTTTATTTTTACTTTGTCACTGTAGGTTTGCTGGACTTGGAGCTGGTCTCGCATGGGGAACACTTCAGGAATCTGCCAAGAGGCTGGTCTTTGGTAAACCTAGTTCACAGGACAATCAATCTGTACTGTCCCCATTTTTGTCTGAAAAGAATGCAGAGAGATTGGCTCTGGCATTGTGCAGAATGCGTGGAGCAGCACTCAAAATTGGACAGATGTTGAGCATACAGGATGAATCTCTTGTTCCTGCTCCGGTACTATGACACTTCTTATGTGCATGCAATGATAATAATTGCTGATATAATGCATGCTCACATCTTGAAATTGTAGAATTGTTGAGGCATGTTGATGACGATGTAGGGTTTTTAGTTGAAAGGTGATGCAAGTTTTTTTTTTTTTAAATTATCTTTAGGGTAATTTAAATGATACAGTTTAGTTTTGGGGGTAATTGAGGTGATGCAATCTTTGTTAAAGCTATTATATTAAGTTTTTGGTTTAGTATAGAGCCTTGAATTTATATTCTTGAACTTTAATTTAAATATCATCAACAGTCAAAGTCAAATATATGTAAAATCAGTTGTGGGTGAGCAGAGAGTGATTGTGCAAATTTTCAAGACAAATTGCTAAAGATATTGCTTAGTACTTTCTTGGAATTATAGAAGACAAATTGCAGAAGAGAATTTGGGAAGAGTATAAGGTGTGGAATACTATATGTGCTTGATTCAATTGGAAGAGTAAAAACTAAGGCACACTGCAAGGTATACTGATTATGTTATTATTTCTTTTGGGTTACATTAAGAGGGTTTGAACCCTTGATCTCTATATGCACCCCACCCCACCCTTGCCACCTAAGCTAGCCCTAGGTGGCTTGCTTATTATTATCATATGAGAAATTCTAGTTGGATGCAATGTATTTATATTTTGTACATTCTACTAGAGTTGAGGGAGGTTAAGTTCTATCATGGTAAATACTTTGATGAGAATTGGAATAAGCCATTGTTATCTGTATCTCTGATGAGAAGTGCTATAATGGCTGATTTAAAATTGATATCTGTTCTGTTACTAGATGCATTGGCGTAGTCCGATGTCAATCAGAGGTCTATTCCATTGTTATCTTTTTGCAGATTTGCTAATTAGGTCATGCCGTCATGAGCAGATTATTATTTCTGCAAAGCTCTAGAGTCTCTCAAAAAATTGGGGATTTTTCATGTCAATATTTCACATACACTACAATGGTCTTTTGTACTTCTCCAAATGTTTGGAAGCGAAATTAGTATGGATTACTTTCTGCCCATTTATACTTTGTCAGCATTTCCATGATGAAATTAGTAATTGGATTTCTTATTGCTTATTAGTTCATAATTATTAGGTTTTATGTGACCTAAGAAGTAAAGTCTCAATCTTTTTCTGTAGATCCTGACTGCATTAGAAATTGTCCGTCAAGGTGCTGATGTTATGCCAAAGAGCCAGCTCAATCAAGTTTTAAATGCTGAGTTAGGTCCAGACTGGACCTCAAAATTGATTAGTTTTGATTATGAACCAATGGCTGCTGCAAGTATTGGCCAGGTATGCAAGTTTGTGTTACATATTACTTAAAATCAATTATCTGCTGGTGTTATTTGGTAGCCATAAACAGTACATCTCTCTCTATCCATCTTTCCAGTATGAGTATATAACTTTCTGATCTTCTCATGAATATGAATCACCATTAAGAGTGTGGGAACTGGCACTGTCATGACTTATGTTCAGTCATGGCATTGCATATCTTGTAATTCCTCACCATTGTGGTTTCTCAATGTAATTTTTTTTTCCTTAAATTAATATTTAATGTTTAACATCATCGAAATTAGCTTCCATCATCTTAAATATTAATTTAAAACCCCACTATATTATTATCTTATTTGTAATTATCATATATGATCACTCACTGATGAACTATAGTGAACTTTGAACTCAGACTCCTACTTTCCAGCCTGCCAAAGTCTCTGTAAAGGTTGATACTGATAGACATTCTATTTGACTCAACCTAATGCTGTTTGAATTCATGGCGCATAAAAACATGAGTCTTTCTTCTAAAAATTCCATAATTGGCTATAGTTAATTTATATAATTCAAAGAAAAGCGGTTTTCCATTTCCATGGCCAATGTGTGCAGTAGGCATATGCGCAAACAAATTATGTTTGTAGCTCATTCAATATTTTGCAGCTTCATTTTTTTGACATTTCTGCTTGCTATTGCCTAACATGGTTTTTCATATGAATTTAGGTGCATCGGGCTGTCACAAAGGATGGCATGCATGTTGCAATGAAAATTCAGTACCCTGGTGTTGCAGATAGCATTGAGAGTGACATTGAGAATGTGAAACTTCTTTTAGATTATACAAATCTAATTCCTGAAGGACTTTATCTTGACAGAGCTATAAAGGTGTGTATTTATGGTTAGAATCCCAACAAATTTACTGTTTTGAATTCCTGAGTCCCACCCCCCCAGCTGAGCATGCAGGATAATATTTATCTATGGTGGATGTTGATTTGCTATGTTATCTATGTATATGAAGATCTTAGTTTTGACAAACATATTTGTTTAAGGCTTTGCACTTATGGTGTTCTTGAAAATTATTAAGGTGGCTAAAGAAGAATTGTCTCGTGAATGTGATTATGAGTTGGAGGCAGCAAATCAGAGGCGATTCCGAGATATGCTTGCGGGCAGAGAAGGATTTTATGTTCCATTGGTTGTAGATGATATTTCAAGGAAAAGAGTTTTAACTACAGAACTTGTTTCTGGTAATTATTATATCCCATTATGGGGGATGTGCTTTTGACATTTCCTTTCTTCAGTGGACACTTGTAGGATTCAAGCTTCATTGGCATACTAGCACTTAAGTTGGCCCAAAGCATATGTTGTTTACTGTTACAAAACTGTCAGTGCATATTATTAACTTATTAGCACAGCAGATGTACCCTTTTGACTTCAGTGAAAAGAATTTTCTGTCTGTTTGTCATAATAATTATTTGACAAATGAAATGTTTGGCCTTCTGAACATCTATGCAATATAGGTATATTTTCAGTCAGGTTTTCTTTCTCTAGCAAAGTCTCAACATTGGCAGTTTGGACTGATGGATGATAGAACTGCATAATGTTATAGGCTGCTGAATCAGATAAGAAAACCTGCTTAATTCAGGCTGTTTCAACCATTGATGAAAATGCCATTGTTTCTGCTAGTCAAACTAGCATTTTGTTAGATTACATTATAGTGAACCTGATTTTATTTTAGCAGCATATTTTACTACATGTTAATATCAGTAGTCAGTGAAACATTTTAGCATACCATGCTGTCATTTTTTTTTATCAGATTGTTTAATATGTACTAAAGATGCTTATATTCATCTCAAATCCAGGTTTACTTCCATATTATTTCACCTTTCTCTCTGCTTATTTACCAATAAGATATTCGATCTAAAGGTTTTATGCTTTTAGCTTGCTTTTGAACTTTTCCCTTCTTACAGGAATTACCATTGACAAAGTGGCATCACTGGATCAGGAAACTCGTAATTATATTGGAAAAAAGTTGCTGGAACTCACTTTGTTGGAGTTATTTGTTTTTCAATTTATGCAGGCATGTCCCCCTCCCCCCCGGCAATCACATCTGCATACATATAGGCCATGGCTACATTAACATTCTGCACTTTAATATTAGTCGCTGGAGTTCAGAGATCTGAGCATAGGACATTTGAACTTTATGTGCTGTTATCTCGCTGATGAGTTTTGATTTAGCTATGAAGTTCAGGTGTTCTACAAGACAAGTAAACGAATGTTCCTATTAAATTCTCGAGGCAAATATGACAATATCTTAGGTTTTAGCGGGGCGCAATTCCTGAACTTCAAACTTAGGATTTGGGAACTTAGGACCAAGACAAGAGTCGAGGGGGAAATCTTGGTGATTTCCCTGATTTAACCTGTAATTCTATAAAGAACACGCTTGGTAGAGTGTGTACTACAATCATAAGTTTTACTGGGATGCTGTTGTAATCTAAAATTCTGCAAGTAAAAGGCAAATCAATTTAGGAACTTGGTGGCTAGACTCATTTTGTTGAGTACTGTGGTCTCCTTGATATGTGACATGCTCGTGAATTTCTGTAACAAAATATATATAGATCAGATGTTAACCTGGAAGATGATATACTTGTGTGTTCATAAATTTCAGTTTCTGGTGTCATTTGCTTTGATGCTTCATGCAATGTCATTTTATGCCTACTTCTATTATTATTCACACACGCACACAAAAGTTGCCTGTTAGTTTCCCTTAACTCACTGGTCTTTGTGGTTTTCTACTTCTTTCTGATGCAGACTGATCCTAATTGGGGTAATTTCTTGTATGATGAAGCTGCCAAGTGGATCAATCTCATTGATTTTGGAGCATCACGGGAATACCCTAAAAGATTTGTAGACAATTATTTAAAAATGGTAATTTTTGTTTATATCTGTGCTTGATGAACTTTTGATTTTTGAATTATTGCTTCTTTTATTAATAGCTAGGCTCTAGTTTGATTTCTTTGGTTTGGGTTTATTCTTCTCTCTTTTTACTTTATATTGCTGAAATTTGATCGTCCTTGAATCCTTGCAATGTGATTAGGTTCTAGCATGTGCTAATCGTGACAGTGATGGAGTCATTGAGATGTCAAAGAGACTTGGGTTCCTCACTGGAATGGAATCAGAGGTGATGCTGGATGCCCACGTTCAAGCTGGGTTTGTGGTTGGAACGCCATTTGCTGAACTTGGTGGGTACGACTTCCGCACAAACAATATCACCTACAGCCTTTCACACCTTGGGGGGACAATGCTGAAGCACAGGCTCACGCCACCTCCTGATGAAGCCTATAGTCTGCACAGAAAGCTTTCGGGTGCGTTTTTAGCTTGCATTAAGATTGGAGCTGTTGTCCCTTGTCGGGAACTATTATTGGAAATGTACGAGCATCATCAATTCGGTGATGAAGACAGTGGAATATCTTCAGGTGTCTCGATGTTTTCGTAGTCATTATTCTTTCTCCATTTGATTTTTCTGATCGGTAATAATGGGGATGTTAATTTGCATCCAGGCTCCTCTTGAGAATGTCATTTTTTATATTAGTGTGAAAAAAAAAAGGTCCCCCTTGTGGCATAGCCAATGCTGGTGGTTTTTCCCTGGTGTATTATAGATCTTTGCAATGAAATGCTCGTTCGCGTACTTTTTCAAGGATCTCACAAGTAGTTTGATTCCCAAAAAAAAAAAAAAAACTTGTTAGCCGTTACACACACCATTAAGAACCACTCAGAAGATTGCTTGAGCAGGGTTTGGTATCGAGGTGAGCAAGCTGATTTGTTTCCTTGGAGCAGTGATTGGTGGTCCCGTAATTCCTGGGAAACAGTTCCATGATGGCATTCATTACATCCAGGTGAGAATAAGATGATATAATGTGGTGCGGGAACAGGCTCGTGCCCCCTATTCTGAGCATTATGTGTTCATCCTTGAGATAAAGTCTGGACTATTTAAATTTTAATTTGGATGGTTCAGATTTTAAGGATAATTTTATATTATATTTATTAAAATAAAAATTTAAAAAAATTTAAAAAAAGTTAATAAAATTTTTATTTTTAATATGATTTAGATTTAATTTAGAGGGTTCAATTAAATATTAAAATTTTTATAATTAATGTATATTGATTATCCAAAATACTTAAAATTTGAATCATTTAGCTTAAAATTTAAATGGTTTAAATTTCATTTCAAGAATGAGTACATGGTGCTCATCCTCGAGATGAATAGGGAAATTACTTCCCTATTTTGGCTTAGTAGCAGCCTTGTGCAAGGCTGGCGCTTGGAATATAGCTTAGCTGATTCCCAATAGCCAAGACCATGGACTTGGTATATAGTGGTATGTGAGAATTTCAATAAAAAATACTTTGACCATATTTGTTTAAATTTAAAACTTTTAAACTTTTGAAATTTTACTGCAATTCAAAACTATTGATTTGATATTAAATTTTTGAGGTAAATGATAAAATTGCTCCTCATTTAAGTGAATAACATAACTTCCTTGCTTTGTTTATTCATTATCCTATTTTACTTATTTTTTTATTTAAAAAATGTTCGTTATGTTACTTAACTTATTTTTATTTTAAGTGTTTAAATCATTTTAAAACAACTCGTTAATTCCTTACTATATGCTATTTATACTATTCATTTATTTACGGATGATTGTTCATTGTCTTACTTTGTTTGTTGATTATTGAACTTTTATTTGATTTCATTCCAAGAAAATGAATAGAGTAAGACAATTGATATTTTGTAAGTAGATAAACAAATGAAGTAAGGCGGTTTTGATATTAATTTAAATAAAGGGTAATTTTTCATTTTTTTTCATGAATTTAATATTAAATTAATACTCCTAGACTACAGTAAAATTTTAAAAATTTAAGAGTTTTGAATTTAAATAAGTATAATTTAAGGGTCTTTATTAAAATTCTTTCCAATGGTATTCCTGACCACCCACCACGGGTTTCTGTCTCTCCCCATTCACAGACCCTGTTACGTGAAGCCCAACCTGGTACCTGAGAGCCCATTGGCCCAAAAATTTTGTACTTGCAGCCATGGTGCATGCTGTCACGGGCTGAGAGTCTGGCGCAGCACACGGCGCCCGTGCGGCGTCCTGGAGGACCCCATAATCCTCAGGACAAGCCTTACCACATACGGATCACACTGGTTTCCCCTGCCATGGGCTCATCAGGGAGGCGGCACTAGCCCCCGACTAGTTGTGCACACAGTCCGAAGACTGAGGCAGAACACCCCCAATGCTAATGTCGCCCCCTTTACCCATATTGTGCGAGGCTAACCAGCGGATCGTTCATTATTTTCGTCTTTACACGGTCACGGAAATATCATCCGTGACATTCTCTCACACCCAATCTAGCACGCCCTCGTGCTAGGGGAGAACGACTCCGCCCAAGGATCGAACGTACAGTACTGCCACAAACACATCAGCTTACTGCTGAGTGGCCACCCGAGTCCTGCACTCTTCGGACCCACTCGCACCCGCGAGCCAACAGGAGTGGAGTCGACAACGACCAACCTTCCCGCCCGAGTCCCCACTTTTGGACCCACCTGCTCGGAGGCCTTTCTGGAGCGGTGCCGAGGCCGACCAGTCCCAACGTGGGACCCCACGCGTACACAACAGTAAAGTACGTCCTGCTCTGATACCACTCTGTCACGGGCTGAGAGTCTGGCGCAGCACACGGCGCCCGTGCGGCGTCCTGGAGGACCCCATAATCCTCAGGACAAGCCTTACCACATACGGATCACACTGGTTTCGCCCTGCCATGGGCTCATCAGGGAGGCGGCACTAGCCCCCGACCAATTGTGCACACAGTCTGAAGACTGAGGCAGAACACCCCCAATGCTAATGTCGCCCCCTTTACCCATATTGTGCGAGGCTAACCAGTGGATCGTTCATTATCTTGGTCTTTACACGGTCACGGAAATATCATCCGTGACAATGCGCAATTTCACGTCATTCTCTTGCAAGCAGAAATCAAGTCGTCTTCCTTGGAAACCAGTCATGATGCACTGATGACTTATGACTCGATCGAGTGGAATTTGTTGGTGGGGATTGCTATATGAAGATTAATAGAAATAGAGATAATGAAAATTGTGCACTTTAAAGTATGGGTAACACTTTTTCTATCTGTTTCAATCTTTAGGTGCAAGTTAGATTGGTGGCAAAATTTCTCCAAGATACAATAAAAACTCTTAAATATGGTTTATACTATCAAGACTCCAGTTAAGATAATAATGATTTTTATAAGGTAATAATTTAATTTCATTTCTGGTGCACTCAAAGAATAAGGATAATGAGTTTCAATAGTTGGATATATAAAATAAATGTTAATGAGAGGTATTTATAGATACTAAAATTATGCATTAAAGTAATACCTTTTAAATAATAAAACTCTCTTTAAAAGTTATAGTCAATATTGATTCATAACCCTTAGTTCATGAATGACCTTGTGTTAATTCATGGACATTCCTATATTAGTTCATGAACCTATATAGTTTAGTAATTAATATTAACTTTGAGTTATTTATAATAACTTTTCAAGAAAAGAAACATCATTTTAATCTGTAGAGTTTTCATAAAACACCTTTCCTTCCATCAAGTGACACCTTTTAATTTTAAAAAGATATGATCTTGATGACTATAACTCCTTAATTTATATGGACACGACTTTCCAAAAATATGTCTTCGTTTTGAAAGTATTTTAATGATCCCCCACCATTTTTAAAATGATTATAAACTCTTATCACTTTCAAAATATCATATTTTCAGTAATGGTGTCTAAGAGACTTGAACTTTTACTTAGCAAGACATGGTTTTACCCAAATGAAATAACACGGCAGAGTTTTGAATTAGTTATCCCATGTGAACAAGTGTGCAACACTCACGCATAAGATCTCAAACATGTGAACAGGTGTGCACGACTTACACATATGATCTCAAATTATTGTATAGTGTACACCATGACATTACCATAATAACATCACATGCTACCCTGTCATTGTAATTTAGATTAAATAAATCCATAGCTAGGTTACTATAATAGAAAAGTTTTGGACTACAATTAAAACATTTCAAAAGTGTGGGATCCCAAAAAAATTCTTTAGATATTATTTGAGCTTAAACAAATTAAAATCAGTAATTTAAGCGCACAAAATCATAAAATATAAAGAATATAAGGAATAACCCTTGAGTATGATTTGTACTACCAAGACTTAAGTTAAGACAATAATAATTTTTATAAACTGATAATTTAACATTATTTCCCATACACTCAAAGAATAAAGACAATGAACATCAATAGCCATATACAAAATGAATGTTGGTGAGGGATATTTATAAATATTGAAATAATACGGTAAAGTTGTAACTTTTAATAAGTACTGAAACTTTTTTTAAAAGTTATAATTAATGTTGATTCATAACTCTTATATTGATTCATAAATAATCTTATGTTGGTTCGTGAACATCCCACTGGTGGTTCATGAACCTACATAATTTAATAATTAATATTAACTAAAAGTTATTTATAATAACTTTTCATAAAAATAAATATCCTTTTAATATGTAAAGTTTTTATACAATACATCTCATTTCATCAAGTGATATCTTTTAGTTTTATAATGCTCCAAAAATGCTTTCAAAAATTAGAGAAACATGATCTTGGTGACTATAATACCCTACTTAACTTTTCATAAAAAATTATTAATTTAGAAGGACATAACTTATTAACTTACAAGGGCATGATTTTTTTTAAAAAGACATTTTTTCATCTTAAAAATATTCTGACAGAATTTGTCAACATGCTTGTGGTCCTGAAGAGTTATATCTGTCTAACTCAAGTAGAAAGTTGGTTTAAACAGATCTAGAATGTTTTGCATCGGGCACATTAATTTCGAAGTTAGTCTTTGAAATTTTCAAAATGATCATCAAAATATAAAATCCACTAAATTTTTCTGATCTTCGAGCCTTCAAACATTTTCACTTAGCTTGTTCTTTTCGTAAGTTTTATAGTCGGCGAATTTCTTGTGTCCTCAACAACTTGTACCGATTTCTTTTATATACCCGGGCAACCTTTGACTTTGTCATGTTAACTTTGATTTTCCAAAAGGATACAAAAATATGGAGTCTGGCCTCGTTAATGGCCTCTCAATTCTTAAGGTAGTACGTACGAGTCGACGGAAGCGTCCGGCTTCAAGGACCAGCTGGTCCCAACACAGCAACACTGCCTGCCGGATTTCGGAGACGCATTTTAATTGCCTAGTCAGCACCTTTATTTTTAATTATTTAAAAATATCATTCTATTAAAAACAATCATATTTAAGGATTATCGAATGCTAAATATAAACAAATCTTTTAACAGAAATTCAAATATTGATTTGTTACGTTGTGAGAAACTATCCTATTTTGTTAGACTCAATTCTATTCGTTTTATTCATCCACGTTTTAGCATACTCCAACCATCCAAATTATAATATAAGTTATTATTAATCAATTACTTTTTTTAAAACAGCCGGTTAAAATCTTAATTTAAAAAAAATTATATTTTCAATCATATACTTAAATGAAATAGGTAATTAATTTATGTTTTTATAACATTTGACTCATTAAAAACACTTTTATTAATTACTTGGGT